GGTCTTTGCTCTGCTCCATTTCAGATCTTTCCTGTAGCTGTCACTTGAGGTTTACTGATTGTCTTAGTACGGGTTTCTATTGCTGTGATGAAACACCATGACCAAAAAGTAAGTTGAGGAGGACAGGGCTTATTTGGCTTACACTTCCACATCACGTTCATCGTTGGAAGAAGTAGGAACAGGAACTCACACAGGACAGGAGCCTGGAGGCAGGAGCTGATGCAGAGACTGTGGAGGGGTGCTGCTTACTGACTTGCTCCTCATGGTGGACTCAGCCTGCTTCCTTAAAGGCCCAGGACCACTAGCCCAAGGGTGGCACCACCCACAATGGGCTGGGCCCTCCCCATCAATTATTAATTATGAAAATGCCTTGCAGGCCTGCCTAGAGCCCCATCTTATGAAGCCATTTTCTTCATCGGTGTTCACTCCTCTCGGGTGACTTTACCTTGTGTCAGGTGACATGAAACTGCTCCGCACACTGATCTTTCTCCTTCTGTGTGACCTCAGGGGATGCATGGCCCATCTGTAGAAGTACTGTTGGACCTCCACGTACCTTCTCCGTGTCTGCCTAACTTTTTGGACATTTGAAATATAATTATAGTGTCCTCTACTAAAACTCTGGCTGTTCTGGGTTAGATTTGGTTGGTTGATTTCTGTCCCCATTCGGAGCTGGTTTTTCTTGTTTCTTTGCATATCTGATAATCTTTGTTTAGAAAGCAAACACCGTGACTTTAGCATGCTGGCTGTTCAGTTACATATCTTTTGTTCCTATTAGCATTGATGACCTTTATTTAGGACATAGGTACTTGGAAGCCTTGATATTTCGGGTTCTTTCTTCTATGATTTGTTAGACAGGTATAGATCATGTACTTGGGACTAATTATTGCCCCTTTTTTAGAAGTCCTTCCTCAGTGTCCCATCTAATGCCGGTAAATTGTGTATTGTTCTGATCTTGCTGCTGGGAACAGCGCTGGGATCAGCCCTGTGTGAGTGCCAGGCATTGACCTCACTGTTCTCAGGTGACTTCCCCCTCCGGCATGGGTGGTTGTTCACCCCTGCTCTGACCCATGTCCTCCTGACCCCTGTAGGCCTCTGGGTTCTTGCTCTTTGTTGACACCGTGTTTCAGGGTCTGTCCATTTTGCCCTCCCCAGGCCCCTGGCTGTGTCTCTTCTCCAGGGGAGTCCGGGAGGCTCTTCCTGTGTCCCTCTTCCTGCCCTGCAACCTGAGACAGCTTAGGGCAGGAAGCCAGGCAATTGAGGCCTTGCCTCCTTTGTCCTGCCCCTCAGAGGCTAACCTCTCACTGCCTCATGTCCAGTGTGGGAAGAGTGGTTGTCTGATAGATTCTGGCTTTTACCTGTTGCAGTACAATATAGATGTGACGCGCTGGCTGGAGTCTCGTGACACTCGGTTTTAATGGCTTGCTGACCTCTTTATGCCTGGCTTGGAAAGAGAGCCGGATGTGTGCTGATGAGTGTGAACACAGTAGACTGACTCACACTTCTGCACCTGGTACAGCGATCTCATGATCTCTGTGAAGCAGGAGTGGTATTAGTGCCTATGAGAGGTATAGAGCGGATGTGTGCTGTAGTGGTGTCCACACTGTGGAGTGCAGAGCGGATGTGTGGTGTAGTGGTGTCCACACTGTGGAGTGCAGAGCGGATGTGTGGTGTAGTGGTGTCCACACTGTGGAGAGCAGAGCGGATGTGTGGTGTAGTGGTGTCCACACTGTGGAGAGCAGAGTGGATGTGTGCTGTAGTGATGTCCACACTGTGGAGTGGCAGAGACCCCATGCATGCTAAGTCCTCTCTGATGCTGAGCTGCAGCCCCAGACCGAGGAAGTCTGTGAGGAGAAACGGAGAAAAGCATTTCAACATAACAGCGCCCCTGGAACTTGTGTGACCCGTCAGCTACTGAGCCATATTGTTGTTGTTGTCAGACCTTCATAAATGCCCACACACACATCCGGCCCAACATTCCACACTTGCCCTCACCATGGCTGCACCAGAACCAGGTTCCCAGCAGGTGCCCTGGGGGCACTGGAAAGAATGAGCTCCCGGCTGTTGGTGACACCTTTTTGTAGCCAGAGTTTTCCTGCCTTGCCCACAGTCAGGACAAATCTTTGTCACCCGCCAGTCCCACAGCCGCTCAGACCCAACCAAGTAAACACAGAGACTTATATTGCTTACAAACTGTATGGCCGTGGCAGGCTTCTTGCTAACTGTTCTTATATCTTAAATTAATCCATTTCTATAAATCTATACCTTGCCACGTGGCTCATGGCTTACCAGCATCTTCACATGCTGCTTGTCCTGGTGGCGGCTGGCAGTGACTCCTCCTGCCTTTCTGTTCTTTCTTTTCTCCTCTCTGTTAGTCCTGCCTATACTTCCTGCCTGGCCACTGGCCAATCAGTGTTTTATTTATTGACCAATCAGAGCAATTTGACATACAGACCATCCCTCAGCACCTTTTCCTCACCTGCCATCATTCTAAGGGGTTTCAGCCCTCCATAACAGACCTGGCTTGTTTCATTTTCCAGGGGATGACAGGAAGACCCCCAGTGAATCAAACAGCCCCTCCTCATCCTCGCTGTCAACTCTGAGTGATTCAGCCAATGGCAAAGATGACTCAGACAGCTCCCAGAAAAACAAGAGTGGGAACAACTTGCTGGTCATCTCCGTGGTACCTGGGAGCCAGCCCTCCCTGAGCAGCGAGGAAAAGCCAGAGAAAGGTGAGGGAGAGGTGCCCACTCTAGGGCGACCTAGTCCTAAGAACAAACCTTGAAGAGGAAAACAGACTGCTGTGTGGTGCTCATTACTAAAACGGAGGAGCCCTTTGCCTTGGCTTGATCTGTGCTCAGATGTGGGATGGGAAGACGGGAGGGGACAGGACACTGAAGCTGGACATTCAGCCATTTTCTAGTGCAGTGATGTGGGGGATGGTGCCAGAAAGCTGTATGTGTTACAAGATGCAGGGTTGGAAGGAGGGGAGTTCTCCCGAGACTCCCTGCCTGTCTTTCCCCACACACTCCTACACCAAGCTTCGGTCCTTTCAGGGTTTGAATGCGTTTTTTGCAACTTTGTCTGCAAGACGAAGAATATGTTTGAGCGGCATCTGCAGATCCACCTCATCACCCGGATGTTTGAGTGTGACGTGTGCCACAAGTTCATGAAGACCCCCGAGCAGCTGCTGGAGCATAAGAAATGCCACACTGTCCCCACCGGTGGGCTCAAGTAAGGAAAGCAAGTACAGAATCTTTTATTGAGTTGTTATTAAACACCCCTTCCCCTGTCCTACCCTAACCCCTATGAAGGTTTTGGGGGTCACAGAGTGGGGGAGCTTGGTATGGGGGGTTAGAAAAATCTGCTGCCTCTGGCTGGATGGGGTTCCAGCTGTCCCCAGGGAGTCAACCGACATCAGCAGGAGAGGCCACCTCACAAGTCCCCAGGCTGTGGCAAGGGCAATGCAAAGCATCAGCACAGCGTGAACGCCTAGACTCTACTGCGGTGCTGGGCTCGCGCTCAGGCTGGAATTAATGGATTCCAGGCTAGTGTCCCCAGGTAGCCATCATTTCACAAGTTGTCACTGCAAGTTACTGTGTTCACTGTTTAGATGGCCTGACATGTGTTTAGCGTTTAAGTCAGTCCTGTAGGCACCCCAGCCCCCAAAGTAGAATCTTGATGGTTTGATCAGACAAGAGGCAACAGTGTTCATGCAAACATCAAGTGCCTTGTGTCTTCCTGCAGATGTGCTGACGCCTTCCCAAAAGATCTAGACAAAGAGCATCATCCTTAAGCAGTATTTGCAACAAGGCCCTGGCCTCAAGTGAGCCCCACCATCTATTACCAAGCATACTATATGGGACCAGCCTGACCATAGACGCCAAAGGGCACGTGAAGAATAAAATACCATTCCCACCTTAGGAATGGATGTCCCAGCACTACCAGAATTTAATCTTCCAGTGATTCTGGAAGCAGAGTCCCAAATCACAAGGCATTTTGGATGTAGTAAAGAGACGAGCATAAAATAGTTGGGGACAGAAAGACACAATTGTCCGGGCATTTTCATCTAGAAATCACCGTGTAGATAAAAGAATGGGGAAAACACTTTTTCTTTTATTTTCTTAATATAAGCAGGGGGCGGTCTTTCATTTTAAAACATTTTATCCTCGAAACAACCTCAGAGAGGTGCCATGCCTCCTGAACGGGTAAGAGTTGGAGAGCCCAGAGGGACCCGGGGCTCAGTGACGGGGGTGAGCAGGGCTGGCTGGTCAGGGCACCCTCAGCGCGAGCTGCTAATGCCGGTCCATCCTGCTCCACCCTTGCGGGTGTCTAGGTGGGAGGGTGGGAGGGAAGGGCTGGTTATAACCCATTCAGCTAGGATGGGAAATGCCTGGCAGAAGCTCAGCTGGGAATTTGATTTGGTTTAATCCCACTGTCCCTTTATCGAGATTTGTGTACTCTTTATTAAAAAGCGGGACTCTGCCTTCTGTGGACGGAGTAGTATCATTACCTTCTGGTAGCTCAGTTACACCCACGCCATGTGCGGCCTTGCCTCTCACCTTTGGAGACCCCAAGCAGGCCTGAGCCTCTGACGCACTGGGGACACACTGCACGATGACCTCAATGCTTTACTGGGTCAGACATTCCTGTTGGCACTAACCATCCCCGTATGATAGTTTATGTTTTAGGACAACCAAGTAGAAGAATACTTTGAAAAAAAAATTGATAATGCCTTCTGGCTATACAGTGAGTTTTGTTTTGTTTGTTTCTTTTGCCATATCAGAGAATGAATTTGCCTGAGAAAGTGTCTTTAAGATAAATAATGGGAGCATGGAAAAGCCTGAGTGCTCTGCCTGAGCAGTGAAAGACAGATCGAGCTGAGGGTCACAGAAACATCCTTAACATGAGACAGACCGCCGATGTCTAAATGCTTTTCTGTGATGGGACTGCTTGTACTCTATATCCTGTTCATAATGCAGATCAAATAAGATTATACTATTATTTTTCTTTTGCCGTAGCTCAGGACAGTGGTGAGTTTCAGACTCCTCTAGGTAAGGCCCAGCTTGGCGTAGGGGTTGTGTGTGCACTTGACCTGGGAATGGGCTTTTATATTTCTGTGCACTCTTCTGTGAGCTGAGGTTCCAGGGCTAACAGCGAGCTTGGTGCTGAGGAGGCAGTGCACGGTGCCCCTGACTGCTGGGCTCTGCTGAACACCTCTCCAACCCTCTGAGGACAGACAGCCCCCTTCTGCGCCCTGCCTTGCAGGAGCGGAGTCCAAGCTGAGGCAGTCACTCAGGCATCTGCATTCTTTTTGGAAAGAGCACACATGCTACAGTTTTCCTCTACGTCACAGACTCAAGCCCGGCAGCTCCGCCGTGCAGCCCAGCAGCTTCTGTAAACATACGCACCCCACTCCTCACAGCCCTGACTGTGACAGGCTGGTGCTAGGTGATCCATGACGGAAAGACTGCAGAGTCCACGCCAGAGATAGATACCCAGGCCTTGTGCTAGAGGAGACACCTAGAGCCCAGTCCGGTGCTGGAGCTGGGACTCCGCCCACCACGTTGAATCTACCCAATGCCCTGCAAAGATGCTCAGACCATGAGTCAGAATCTCCGAGTGCTCTTCTGAGCACCATAGAGAATGCAAACGAAATCTCAAAAAAGTCCTACCCCAGGAGAACTCACCTTCCAGTTGGATCACTGGTATTTCTATGACATGCTTATGTCCTAAGGATGTCTTCAAGCTCTGGAGAGCAATCTCCTTCCTCCTCATCCCTCCTGAGTAGAGGGGCCGTTTGTGTGGGCTTCCTTCTCCCAGGCCCCGGCCACGGTCCTCACCTCCCACTCCCGAGGAAGATCTGGTGCTTTAGGAGATGACATGCATGTTGGTGCACACACGCACACCACACTGGCACACAGAGGGACACACACAGGCCTTCTCGTCCTAACACCCCTGTAATAAGCACGACTCTGGCTCCACCTTTCTGTTTGCTGGAGGGAGCTCTCCCTGTAAGCTGTTCTTCAAAGCCTCCTAGCCTTTCTGCGTGTGCTTGGTGTGGTGCATGAAAAGTCGGTTCTTTGTGTCGCTCCCATCCAGAGGGGAGGTCAGGAAGCCCAGGCTTCTGCCATGTCCAGTGGGGGGTGGGGGTGGGGAGGGAAGAGGGCCCCAGGGGCTGGGAGGGGGCAGGAGGGGAATGCCAGCTCTAATGCCCCTCGCATTCTCTGCTCCTTTGTGAGGGCTGGCCTCGGCTGTTGCAGCCCGGAGCCCCCACACCAGCTAAGTGGACCACCCAGAGCTCCCTGTTAACCTGGACTGCACTGTAGCAGTGAAGCCGAGCCGCCTGAGAGGTGGCAGGGCTGACCCAGGGCAGGCTGGGGAGGAGGGGAGATGCGGGGTTGCCCTTGGCCCCTCCCTGCTGACCCTTCCCTGCATTGCTTCCCCCGGCAGGTGCCCGTTCTGCATTTACTCCACCAACCGCCCTGCTGCCATGGAGTGCCACCTCAAGACCCACTACAAGATGGAGTACAAGTGCCGGATCTGCCAGGCAGTGAAGCCCAACCAGCTGGAGCTGGAGACGCACACCCGCGAGCATCGCCTGGGCAACCACTACAAGTGTGACCAGTGCGGCTACCTGTCTAAGACGGCCAACAAGCTCATCGAGCATGTGCGTGTGCACACCGGGGAGCGGCCTTTCCACTGTGACCAGTGCAGCTACAGCTGCAAGCGCAAGGACAATCTCAATCTGCACAAGAAGCTGAAGCACGCCCCCCGCCAGACCTTCAGCTGCGGAGAGTGCCTGTTCAAGACCACACACCCCTTTGTCTTCAGCCGCCATGTGAAGAAGCACCAGAGCGGGGACGGCCCCGAGGAGGACAAGAAAGGCCTGAGTCCAGCCGCCAGAGAGCCAGCTGGCCCCGGAGCCCCACTCCTGCTTGTGGGGGGTGGCCGGAGTCTCTTGTCCCCTCTGTCAGTCATGTCAGCCTCGCAGGCTCTGCAGACCGTGGCCTTGTCAGCAGCCCACGGCCACGGCAGCAGCTCGGAGCCCAACCTGGCACTCAAGGCCTTGGCCTTCAACGGCTCCCCGCTGCGTCTGGACAAATACCGGAACTCGGATTTTGCCCATCTCATTCCCTTGACAATGCTGTACCCCAAGAGCCACCTGGACCTCACATTCCACCCTCCCCGACCCCAGACTGCGCCTCCCAGCATCCCCTCCCCCAAACACTCCTTCCTCGCCTATCTTGGACTAAGAGAAAGAGCAGAGACTGTCTGAGGACAGCCATGTTCTGTACCAAAAACCAAGAGACAGAGACGGGAAAAGACAAAAACCCACAAAACTTAAACACAACCCCAGCAGGTGTATGTTGCTGCAAAACCTACAGGCCCCAGGGGCCTGGACCATGTGTACTGTATATCTTAGTAAGGAGTAGAAAATTGGCTCTGTATGTATACCTATTGCATTGACCTGAAAGCTGCTTTAGCCAATCTTCAGAGAGGTGTTGCTGCCTCCTTCTACCCTCAGAGGCATGCCTCCCCAGCCATCACTCCCACTCTCAGCCCTCCAGAGTACTTCTCTCTGAAAGGAATTTTGTCATGTCAAACCCTAAAGAGAGTGTCCTTAATAGCAATCAGCACTTGGAGGCTTCTCCACTGGTACATTGGGTTTTCTGTTGGGTGACTGGGGTGTTGTGGACATTTGTGGACTGGGAAAGAGAAAGTGTGTGTGTGTGTGTGTGTGTGTGTGTGTGTGTGTGTGTGTGTACGTGTGTGTACGTGTGTGTACGTGTGTGTACGTGTGTGTACGTGTATGCATGCGTGCATGCGTGCGGTGGCATGTGTGTGGTATGGTGTGTGTGTGTGTGTGTGTATGTGTGTGTGTGTGTGGTGTGTGCCATGACATTTCTATTGCACATTCTTTTGTAACGACCTCTTTGACAGTGATGAACATTCTTTCTCTCCCTTCTGGATTGTTCACCCACTACAGTCTCCCCACCTCCTTCTCGGCCTTTCTCTCCTTAGTTTATCGCTACAGAGTGGTAGGGCCTGGTGCTTAGTGGATGAAGATCTGCAGGGTGCCGGGATATCCCCAGGCTCGAAGCCTGGAGCTCACATCTCTAAGCTAAGAAAGATGGAGAGAGCCAGGTAACAGTTCTGTTAAGAAATGTCTCACAGCTCCGCAGCTGACATCACAAAACTTGGGTGTTCTGTGTGTGTGCCCACATGGAGACAAGGTCTTTGGTGAATGCACGCATGCACACACACACACACACACACACACACACACACACACACACACACACACACAGGGAGGGGAAGCGCATCCTTTTTAAAGGGCAGAATATGTGTGTGTGATGTATTGATTCAGTTGCTATCATTGTTTGCAGGAAAAAAAATTGTATTTGTGGAAATTTTTATGGTTGATAAATCCAGCCGAGGAGATTAAAGGGGTTTGGATCGATTCTGGGTGTAAATGCTCAGACTAAAAAGAAACGGCAGCTTTGCACAGGGCGTGGGCCTTGCACTAGTTTTGTTTCTCGTTGGGGGAAAGGAATAAGTAAAAGAAAAGGAAGGAATTGTACCTTTTTTATGGAAGGAGTAGACTGTATGTTTGAGATTTTAGCCACGACCTCTTGACGTATTAGGAAGGACACAACAAAAGGTGCTCTTAGTCCTGTGCCTCCCCGACGCCCAGGAGTCCCCTCCGTTGGCAGAGCCTCTGGCTAGAGTGTAACCTCCATGTACTAGTGACCCCGTATCCGTTCTGTTAACGCCTAGTGGATGTAGCCCTGCTAGGAGGCTGACTTTATACTTATTTAAAGCTCTTACTTTACGGTCATTAAAATGGCAGTGTACTGCAGCACTTTACTGCAGCAAGAAGCAGGTGTGAATTGGTTGCATAGCCCTTTGCTTATCTTAAAAAGTAACGGATGATTTAAAAAGGAAAAGAAAATCTTTGGCTGATTATGTTCACTGCTTGTATTTGTAAGACAGCAGAATTTCCAGTATGCAACAGGTTGAAAGAGCAGGAAGAAATGTGCTTTGTATGGAAATGAGAAGTTTGGAATATGAAAGTTTCTCTGTTATTTATCGGAGGAAGAATTGGTGTCCAGGAGGAATGCTTTCTCGCTGTTGCTCGTTCCCCTCACTGTATTATCCTCGGGTGGGACAGTGCCCACTTTCCTTGTTCCTTTCTTTAACTAGGGGGAGTGAAAGCATCCTGATCTCTTCCTCTAGGCGGGATTGCTTCGCTGATTAGTGCAGTGACGGAAAGCCAGAAGACTGTACATCTCCACAGCATTGGCTCCCCATCCCCTCTCAGCCTCCCTCTCGCAAACCTAGCAGGTCTCTTTCCCTCCCCGCCCGTCGTCCAGCCATAGGTGAGGAGCCTGATTAGGACCCTGGCAAAACAAGTTTACACTACGGAGATGTCCACAAAGGCAAGGAGACCAACCAGCTAGCCCAGGAAGGCCCCAGAGCCTCAGTCGATCTCCTGCAGAGACCTTTGCTCTTGGCCTTGTGTGAAACGCTGTTCAACTCGCCATGTCGATATCTCGGTAAAAGACACTCTAGACACCTCTGGACAATATGCCCCCAAGGTCACTGGGTTTATGGGTGGGTTTGTTGTTTTTTTATTTGCTTTTGTTTTTTGTTTTAAAGTCATGTTTTTATCCCCATTTAATGGAGAATGTGCCACTTGGCTAATAATGTGTTTTCAAAACTGCAGGTTCAGTGTCAGCAGTACAGGGCCACAGTGGTCCCCCGGAGGTGGGCAGAAAGGCGACTCCCACAGAAGCACCCACAGGTTAAGAACCTGAGTGGGTGACCCTGAAAACGCGGACCCTGGGTTTTACAGCATGCCACTTGTGCAATAAGAGGTCTTCGGGAGGGAGCGTGGGAGAGCGAAGGGGGAGGTGGATGGAGACGTTTCTGCTCAGATGACATGCCTTTCACTGCTTGCCACTGAACCTGTGTTTGAATGACTTAGTAATGCTTAATGTAATTGGGCAACTTTTTTAGCACTTTGGAAAGAGTCATCAATCTTTCTGGTAAATTATAAAGTTTTCTGAGTGAGAAAACGTGTGTTTGCAGTTTGTTTGACTTTTTATATTATTGTTGTTATTAATAAAGAAGAAAATCTACAGCATTTTTCAGAATCCACCTAGATAAAATGTGCCCCTGAATCTGGTTTGCTGATTGATACCCAGGGAAGGATGTATTCCGTAGACATCCTTCCCGTGAAAAACACTAACACCTTTGAGACACTCGCCTAGCAGCTGACTTTAGTTCGGCTTTCACTCTGCATTCTCCCATGGAAGCTGCCCGCTTTTCCATAGAGTGATGCAGTTAGGGTCCTCAGCACTTTCCTCTCCTTTTTTTTTTTTTTTAAACTCCTCATATTATGTTCAGATGATAATACTGTCAAGGTTTGTGTACATGACTGGGATTTGTATTGTATAAAGCTTTTGCATTCAAGGCTGTACAGGGTCATTTTGACAGTAACTGGTATTCTCCTTTGCATCTTACGTTGCATTGCCGATTTCTAGTGTATCCAGTTTGGAAGTATAATATACTCTAATTAAAAAAGGTTGGCTATACTCTGGCTTCTTTTTCTTTCTTGGTTGCCATCCTTGACTGCTTGTGAAGCCTCAGAGTTTTGTTCATCTTTCTTTGTCCTGTTGTTTTCTTTTCACTGTGTTCCAGGTTTCCTGAAATTCCTGTCCTAGCTATAACTGTTGCAAAGTGCAGCAAATTTTCATCAGCTGGGCTCATAAACATGGCTACCGGCAAGTCAATAACATCTGTTAAGGCCGAGAGCCTGACGTGTCTTGCAGGACCACAGCATCCGGCTCCTTCCTGGACGTGTTTGTAGGAATGTTTCCAAGTGTTCAGCATCTTTACTTACCTTCTCCTGCCTGATGTCATCTTATTGACCTCATAGCCAAAGGGAGTGAACATGCAGATGAATCCATCTGTCTTAGTAAAGTTCAGCAAAAAGGAATTTTTAATGAGGGGGGAATAGTATATTCTTCAAGCTAAACATATTCTACATCAGAGCAAGAAGTCATGGTTTGTCAATCAAGGAAAAATGCCAGAGAAATTACCTAAGACCAAAAAAGGAGATAAAAATCTTAATGACTACCAAAAATAATTTTTAAAATTCATTTTAAAGTTCCATCCATGAGACTTTCCTGTGAATCCATGGCAATTGATAAAAATATGTAAAACGGATGAGAATGTTTGGCCTGGCTCTCAACTTGCATGCTTATAAATATAATATCCTTTGCTTATTTCAAAATGCGAGCCACTTTAATCTAACATTTAAAGTGAGTCAATATATTCCTAAATTGTGGTACTGTAGAAGAAGCCATTGTGTAAATGAATCAGCCACTAATCATTTCTATCTTCATTTTTATTCAATAAGTACTTCTAAGTGAAGGCATATTCTTTTATGTGACCCACAGCTTTGTTTAGGGGTGCCTAGGCCTTTCTGAAAAATATTAAGATTAATAGACTCCTTGGTTAGCACTCCGAACACTAGTGGCTTCCCATTTGGTGCACACTTCTTTTGTTGATTTTGTTTTCTTTTGTTCCTAGACACAGTAGTTTCCATATCTATCCCCTGTCGTTGAGAACAGGCAGCAATGGACAGAAATCATTTGTCAGTTTGGAAATCATTTCCCTGAGATGAGCTTCCACTGAACGTAAGGAATGATCTGAGAACAGAGTTTTTCAAGACAGAAGACGTCTGCATTTATCTGATCATTAATCAGAGGCTTGGGTCACTGGGGAACGGGGAAATACTAAGGTTTGGTGAACATGGGTATCATGCTAGAATTCTACCCCAGTTCTGAGTGCTGACGGATAACATGATCAGCTTAAAGGGGGAGGCACACCTCGTCAGGCCTTTCGATGCTCTCAGTGGTGAGGACGGAGGGCCTGGAGGACGCAGAGCATACATAAGGAGAGGTGGCCACCAAGGGTCTTCAGCTGTGCTTCCAGCTGACAGAATGTCAAACTGAGTCTTTCCCAAATGCAGCTTAGAGCTGGTGAGTGAAGTCCCGTGGTAAAGGAGTACCCTAGACGTTCAGACCTCATCCCAAAGGACCATCAATTACAGAAATTCAGGTCACTCTGCTGCCAGCTTTCTCAACTGCACCAAATCCCCTCAGCACAGAAGAGGGGGGCCTCCTCAAAGTGGGGTTCATTTTGTGAAGCATCCCATTAATCAAGCAGGCAGAGGTCCCGGGTCTAGTGACATGTGGGGGCCCCTGCTACCTAAGAAAGCCCATCCTCCCCTGTTCACAACCTGAGTGATCTCAAATTATCCATCAAGACCTCAGCTACTTCTCAGGAAGTTACAGATCTCTCATTCATAACTCTTAAAGAGTTGGATCTGCAAACTGAACAGCACATCAGGTGCTTAGGTTGGTAGAAAATACAAAAAGAGGAAGAAAGCCAATGGCCGTATTCTCTTGGAATTCCTTTTTGAAATGACTAAGTATTATTTAGTTCTCAGGTTTCAATAGACCAAGAGCAGAGAGTCTACTTTAATTCCTATTTCAAAATAAATCCCCCTATGCCAGATGGGTTTCTACCCATTTGACAGGACCTGTCTGGTCATGAATGACTTCTAACCAGGAGAGACACTGCTGTGAAGCTGAGGCCTGGTTCAGCCGAGAAAGATGCAGTTATTACATAATGCTAAGCATCTCGGAAGAAGAGGTTGAGGGCCAGAAAGACGGTTCTGTGGCTAAAGTGCTTGCCTGGCAAATGTGAGGAGCCGGGTTTGAATTCCCTGAACATAAAGTGGGTGTGATAATACATGCCTGTGATCTCAATCCTCTCACAGGAGGTGGAGACAAAAATCCCCAGAGCAGGGGCCAGCTAGATTGGCATGTGCAGTGGAGAACAGGAGGCCTTACCTCAAAACAAAATCCAATGCCCAAAGCTGCCCCCTGACTACTCCCCCTCCACACACACACACAAAAGAGGCCGAACTAGCTGCTAAGACCCCTCTTCATTCTAACATATTGCAAATAATAAAGCATGATTCTCTGGCTCTTTCTAAACACGAAAAAGTCATTGCAAGACAGAATTCTTGCAAGGCAATCATAAAGTATATCAGCACCTCTGTTCTCAAGCCACAGTGGGCTCTGGGATGAAAAAAAATGACTAAAAATATTTTTCCACCCATTCCAGAGTTTGAGTTGTCTGACATTGTTCTCTTTGAATTAAAACTAAATCACCAGGCTTTGACTGCCTGAGTCACCGCGAGGGTGGCTTGAACATGCTTTACCAACCTGTGGTTACTTCATCTGGTTAAATGAGTTAGAAAAAAGATGCATGGGGTGTCAAGACCTTCCCTGCCTACCTCCCTCCCTCTGACTCTTCCCACCACCCTGCTGCTCTGTCTCCTTCTGATGACGAATGGGGTAGCTGAGCTCCCTGCCAAGAGTGGTTCATGTGTTTTCTGTAAGAGAATAAATGTCTTAGCAGGTGTCACGAAAGTCATTTTAATTTTAGCATAATGAATTGCTAAATATTATGATATGCCCACTTTCTCAAGACTCTCACTCCGTGAACTGTAGGCACATTAGGAAAACTAGCTCGTAGACACATCCTGTGTGCTTACAGGGAAATGATATCACAATAGATGTACACATACCCAGCTAGGACCACATCTGTAGGGCTCTTTCCAGATCATCCCCAAAAGACGAGTTTCTCCAGATCCAAAGGAAGCTTAGAAAAGTAGCAGCCATTATCTGGCTTCCATCTCAAACGGTTTTTATTCTAACTGTAATTCCTAGTTAACAATCCATAGCCATTGCAGTGTGGGCTATACAGGCCAGGAAGGAACTCATCTTCTTTGCTTCTCCCTTCCAAGCAGAATGTCTGCTAGAACGTTCTCCATGCAATGAGTCTGTCCAGAATACAGGTATAGCAGATATCACCATCTATCTACCTATTGGCCTGCTAGCTAGCTGTCTTCTCTCTAGGGTCTGTCTACCCACATATTTATGTTATCTGTCGATCTAGCTGTATCTATTATCTTTTCTCTAGATTGACATACCTGTTTATCTGTCCCTATTACCTATCTGTAATTTAGCTTTATACAACTGTATTTTCTGGATTCCAATAAAGCCCTGAGAAAAAGATTCCTGTGCAGTCATTTATTTTGGAAGCAATTCCAGAACACAGGTGGGAAACTGGAAAGAATGCAACAGGTTTTTTTTTTTTTTTTAAAAAAAAAAAAAAAGACCCAATTTCATTGTGCTGGTGCCAATCATCCCCACGGACATCTAGAATACAAGCCCTCTGATGACCCTCTCGAGGTGCGTGAGAATTGCCACAAGGGGTGGAAAGATTGGGTTCTAGTGACAACAGAGAGTGGTCACTCCTTCAGCCGTAAGCGATGGGTTTGCCCATGGCGAGGGATGGCGGGATGGGCCTCTGGGGGCAGGCACGGCGCTGACGACGGAGCGGGCCTGCCTGGAGAAAGCACGCGGTAAAGTCAGACTGTGACCCCATCGGTTACAGCTGGCACAGGCCGCAGGAAAGCGAGCTTGTAGAGTGGGGAACGAGAGCTGCCAGCAGAGCTGTTATTCCTGTCCCCATGTTGCCAGGACTTTACGCTCTAGATAAAAGTTGGCTCCCTCACCCCACCTGAGGTGTTTGCTCAAAGTTCTTCCCTCTTCCTCCCACTCATGAGAAAAATGATGGAGCTGTCAGAGTCAAGGGCAGCGTGGGGTCACGATGCTGAGGAAGGAAAAGCAGTCCAAAGCCCTCCATGGGTGAGTCTCCAGAGCCGCTTCTCATTTGGGATTTTGTTTACTTGCTTCCTTGCTTGATTTTTGCTTGTTTGTCTGTCTGTCTGTCTTGCAGTGGAGTTCAGGGCCTCACATGAGCTAAGCAAATGCTTTACCACTGATTTAGGACTCTCATTGTGGGGTCGGTTGTGTATTTGTTCCATTGGTGAGGATGTTCTAGTGTAGTGGCTGTTTGAGCCACGCCCTGAAGCACCGCCTTGTGAGGTAGCAGGTAGCTGTTACACTTGCCTGTGACCTTGAGGTACACGGCCCTGGGGTGTGGCCGAAGACCTGGCTTACTCATGTGCTCTCTCGTCACCACCTCACGGTTTCGGATGCTGAGACCTTGGACCCTACGATAAATCTCCCGTGCTTGTGAGTTAACCCCCAAATACATTGCTGTGCTCATTCAGTAGACTCTGTGGATTAATCCCATTATCTGGCACCCAACTCCCCACATGGGAGCATGGGTTGGCCATCCACTCCCTCTCTTCTCCCTCCCAAGTCTCCGAGTCTATGTTCTTCTGCACACCGTGGCAGACTTGCATCCGATACAAGCCGCAAAATACGCCTGGTGCTGAGCACCCACCGGCCCACCAGCCTCCGTTCAGGGGGAGCTTTTCCCGCCCCGTCCCCGCAGCTATGTCCCACGCTGATTTGTTTGGTCTCAGCGGCCAAAACCGCGAGGTAGTGGAGAGAGAGAGCATTAATGCATCCCAGGTCTTGAGGGTCCCCAGGGGCCACGCCCCAGGGGCAGGTACCTCAAGGTCACAGGCAGATGTAACAGTACTAGGGGAGGTGCTTCAGGGCATGGCTCAAGCATCTACCCACTACATTCTAGGATTCCTTTAGAAAAACTGTGTCAAGGATGTAAGCTGCTTCCTGCTTGGGCGGCCCTGTGAGCCAGGGAGCCCAGACAAGGGCCCAGAGGAAGGACTCTCTCAGTAGCCTAGGACCAGCCTCCAGCCAAGCAAAGGCACCCCGTGGCTCTCACAGACCCCAGCACACTGTGAAGGCGGCTCTACAACACAATTGGGAACCCCAATTTGGAATGGAAATATTACACTCAGCAATCATTTTCTCTGTGTCTGCAATTCCCTCAAAAACTGCGGGTTAGACGGTGACGCTCTACTTTCACGGAGAAGAGCGAATCAAAAATTCAAATCCTCTAGATCAAATCCTCCTACCAAAGGAGGACTGAAGAAGCAGAGACTGATGGGTGGTCAGATAGCATGGAACACATATCTAAAGAATGCACAGACAATGTGTATAGTGTTAGGTATAAACAAACATATGTGTGTGAGCATCCAGAAGGAAGGTCGTCAAGTTTGCTATTCCAGGCCTCATAGTAGAAGACAACATCTTTTCATTTTTTTCCTTGTGCTGCCCAAAATCAAAGCAAGTTGATGAAGGAGGCTAACATATGAAAAGAATAATTAAGGATCAAAGAAATCTCATTAATCAAAAGACTCCCCCTTTCCCATCTTCCCTACAGTGAAACAAACGGGAACAGCAGTGGATTGTCCCTGGACTCTCCGTCAAGGCCCCCTCTCTTTATGGCACCAGATACAGGCATACAGCATGGCTAGGTATGCAGGAGTGCCAGGTACACAGAGGCCGTGTATCTTTTCAACGAGCAGAGTGATAATTTCCTGCTGATGAAGGACTTAACAGTTTGGCTTGTCTGCCTGTGCATAAGAGGCTAAATATGCACATACATGGTTTTGTGTTAGAGAATTCTATGTATAGAATTCAAACTTTCCATCCCAGTTGACCGTATTCCACAGTGAGTCCAAGTCTGCTCTAACAACCACTTCTCTCCCATCCCTTCCTGGACTCATTTGCTATTTCGTGTGTAAAGTTGTGTGCTAAGCAAGTCAGAAAGAAATGGATATTGATGAGATACATTCCAGTCTTAAAGAATTGCCGGATCTCTGTGAGTTCATGGCCACCATGGTCTGCAGAGCAAGTTCTAGGACAGCCAGGGCTACACAGAGAAATTTTGTCTTAAGAAAAACAAAATAGAATTGCCAACCAGTAAAAGTGCATATTTGAAAACATGCATTATAATACCAAGAGAAAGACACAAAAATGTTGATAAAATATTGGATAGAGATTAATTCTTATCTATGTACATATGTGATTCTGTGTTCTACTTCCTATATGTGGGGACAGAAACTTTAGGCTGTGAAGAGCAGGGGTGGGTAACAATGATGAAGGAGGCAATGGATTATGGGTAGCTCTGGGGCTCATCCTGAGAGAGACTCCCTATAACCCAGAAACATTCGTGTTCATGGGAAGGCGGAGGCTCTTTGCAGTTTGAGAAAGTGAAGTACACACTGAAGTAGCACTTTCCTAAGCAGGAAACGTGGGAAGAATATTCCCGATTGAAAGAACAGCTTGAGCAAAGGCAAGGTGGAAAACGGCCTTGTGGAGTCTGCTGCCCTGGGAAAACTACAGTGAGACCAAACAAAGGCAGCTTGTGAAGGGCTTCGGTTCCCTTGTTAAGGTCCTGAGCCCTGCTCCCTTTCTACTGAGAGCCCTCTAGTCCGTGAGAGACTACAAAAGACACTGAGAATGCTGTGGCTGAACACAAGCTCCTTAACTCCAGTAGGGTGGCACCCACTCTCCAAGGTGCTCAAGGCACGAAACTTGGTTCACTCTGTCCCTCTTCTCTCTCCTCTTCCCTCTCTGTCCTTCCTCTCTTTGAACAGCAAAGCCATTACAGAGCCCTATTTACTCTACCTGCCAACTACTTAATAACTGTGCCCAAGTAGTTTCCGCTCTTTTTTTAAATTGTTTTTTTAGATACATTTTATGTGCATGTATGTGTGTGTGCCACATGTGTGCCTGGTGCCTGTGGAGGTCAGAAGCGAGTGTTGGACCCCTGGAACTGGAGTTATGGATGGTTGTGATCTGCTGTGGGTGCTGGGAATTGAACCTGGGTCCTCTGCAAGAGGAGCCAATGTTCTTAACCACCTGAGCCATTCACTTCTCCAGCCTAGTCTTTTCCACTCTTAACTCCTAGAGGTCCTCCACATCTTCACCAGGTATATCACAATAGACTCTTCTCTGTTTCGGACATTCTAGAAAAGAAATGGTTCTGGGGCTAAAAATAAGTTCACCATCAGGCCTGTAGATGCAAAGATGGTATTTGAAGACAGTACAGTTGATAACACTATGATAGCAACTCAGCTGTCATGGCAACAAAGGTTCCTAAGGCAGAACCTTAGAAGATGCCAGATTTGGAGAGGTGGAGATGTGGGTAGCAACTCTGGAGAAAGAGAAGAACCCACCAGAGAAATCTCAAGCAAGGACAGAAACTGAGGGCAGAGAGAATTCTGAGACACTTTGCAGAGAGATCAGTGCAGGGAGGTTGAGTCGCACGGTCTTTACCACAAAGATGTACCTTGGTGACTTCCAAGGACATCATTTCAGTGGCAGACCATGGACAGAAGCCAGACTCTGGTAAGTGAGAGTGACTTGGAGGTGAGAAGGCAGAGTGACCGAGGAGAAGAAAACTCGGCCTAGCGTTAAGTTCAATAGTGAGATAACTCAAGCTCATGCAGATCTCGCTCTTGCCTCGGATCCCAACCTTTCCCTCCCTTCTAAACTTTTCCTCTTCCTATGTTGAATTCCTTCCAAGAGGAGAAAAGTCAGCTGCAGGCTTTAGAATCTCCAGCCACGCTCCACACCAACTTTTCACATCTCTTTGGACTAAACTTGTCTTTGAAGGGCAAGAAGGCTGTTCTGAACCAACCCTGCACTCACTGTTTGCGAGGCCCAGTGTCTATCAGCCAAAGGCATCTCAAGAAACAGCGAGCTAGAAGGAAAGTCTGGGAGTTAAAAGGATGTCCATGTTGGCTCCCTGGCCTCTCGCCACTCTTCTGAGGCTAACCCAGCCTTCATGGAGACAGATGGATCTCAAATCCTTCTCGGCTGCGTGCCATTCTGGCTGGAGAGAAAGGGCTTCCTTCCCCAGAGCCCACACTGGCTGCCACCTCACCAACAGGAAAAATAACCTTCACCAGACAGAATGGGAAGGTACTTGGTTTCGTGAGACAGAAATGAAATAATCTGTTTTTTATTAAATATCATGAGAAGAGTATTAATTCATGCCAGAAACGCAAATATAAGCATTCTCATGTGGAAAGCATTTATTCTGAAGGGGCCATCTGGCAGAGCCTCCAAGACCACGCTTTGCGTGTGTTACCTCAAAGTAGCGAATTCAGAGCAAGCCACACTTGCAGGGGTTTGAAGGAACTACTTTGCAGTAATTATATCTGCTAAATATTTGTCACAAGTGTTCTAGAAGTGACTCTTTCTAAGTGCCATTTTATGAGAACAAAATTTTAATACAAGAGGTGGTTATTATTTCAGAATCTCTCTCCCTCTTAAAAAATAATTCTTTCTTTGGGCCCCCAGCTCCAGCAGTCTGTTCACATACAGTGTTAGAGCATTAGTTATTTAACATGAGGAATGGAGGGGGGGCCTGGGGATACAGCTCAGTTGGTAGAGGGCTTACCTAACGTGCATAGGGCCTTCAATTCAATCCCCAACGCATAGCATAAAGTGGGTGTTATGGAGTGGGCCTGTAATCTCAGCCCTGGGAAGGTGAGGGCAGGACGCAATTAACTCAGGGTTATCCTTGGCCACATAGGGAGATCCAGGACAACCTTGTCTCAAAAAAGAGAAAGGGCATGGCAGAATCTGGAGAGTGAGCAGCTACAGTTAATAAAAGATTAACATGGGGCTGGAGAGATGGCTCATCCATTAAGAGCACTGGCTGCTCTTCCAGGGACCCAGGTTCAATTCCCAGCACCCACATGGCAGCTGACAATCATCTCTAACTCCAGTACCAGGGGATCTGATACTGTCTTTTGGCCTTCACAGGCACCAGGCATGTCAATGATGTATAGACGTACATGCAGACAAAACACTCATATACATAAAGATAAATAATTTTTAATTGACAAAGAATAGAAAATAACATCCTGAGGTTATCAAGGAAATGTGTGGTTCTTACTTGTAAAACACAGCTAAAGCCCTCATGGGCCAACGAGAAGGCTCCGTGGGAGTAAAAGCCCTCGTTGCCACACTGACCACCTGAATTCATTCCAGAAACTCATACGGTGGAAGAGTGGACTCAGCTCTCAGAAGCTATCCTCTGACCTCCACACCGGCACCACGATACCCGAGCAATCACCCACACAAAACAATTAAAAATCTAAAAATACTAAAATCTCACACTCACATTTTTGTCAAAAAAGAAATCATGAGTTGGAACACATTTCTCTGTATCTAAGGGGGAAATCCTTACATTCCAGAAAGGAAGAGATGCTGAGGGAAGTTTGATCTGGTGACCTCAGCCCCTTGGGATCCAAAGGGACCATGTTTACCTGATGCCCCTCATCACCCATGGACTATTGAACTCCATTTGAGGATTCTGATATCATTGGCTCAGAGATACTGTTGTGGGCTGAACAGAAAGACCAAGTCTCATTTTCCAAAGACCCCTTCCTTTGCTCACTCCTCACTCATCCTTTACTCACACACACATCCTTTGCTCTCTCACACATTCATTACTCACACACACATCCTTTGCTCACTCATCCTTTACTCACACACACATCCTTTACTCACACACACATCGCTCACTCACACATCCTTTGCAATGGAGGGACCTAGAAGATCTACTGAACAAACTCCTCAATCTAGAGAAGTAGGCATCCAGAGAGGTCAGGAGGGCTTGACCGTAATTTCAGCCTGTTCAGTCCTTAAGATTGCATTTCTACTTCGGTCCCATGAAGACTAGAACACGCACGCACGCACGCACGCACGCACGCACGCACGCACGCGCACCAGAAAGGACCACACTAAACAGCACTAACTACACCAAATAGGCTGCAGGAGGACCTTAGAGCACCCAACTCCACTTCTTCATTGTACTAAAAAGACACAGTGGCACGCCCCTCTAACCCAGTACTCAGAGGTTGTGGTACTAGGGTCAAGAGCTCCAGTACAGCCTGGGTGTAGAGTGAGACTCAGTCTTAAAATAAAATAAAAAGACAGCCTGGATTTAGAAGTGGGAAGTAAGAAAGACAAAATGTGAGAGAGAAACATTTGTTTAATTAGTAAAACCAATAACAATTGTTTGTGCAACTCCCGTTAATCTAAGGCAGTCTTGGAGATCTGTCTCAATAGTAAATCACAACACAAGTCTCACAAATACATTATATAGCATATGCAGTGCAGATCTTATGAGATATTACATGACCAATTCAAGTCTTAGTCCTCCATGAAACACCCAAGGGAAGAGGAAATTTTTCATGTGCATTCAAAGTTTAAAAACAAGGCCGGGTGGTGGTGGTGCATGCCTTTAATACTAGCACTGGGGAGGCAGAGTTCAAGGCCAGCCTGGTCTACAGAGCAAGATCCAGGACAGGCACCAAAACTACACAGAGAAACCCTGTCTCGAAAAAATAAAAAAAGAAAAAGTTTAAAAACAAAATCTTCTTTGGGAGGGCTGGAGACGCCTCAGCGGTTAAGAGCACTTGATGCTCTTGCAGATGGAGTTCTGTTCCCAGCA